CCCGCCCTGCCTCCTGAAACGCTTAAAGGGCTGGGAGGGGCTGGGCGCCAAGAGGTTAAAGATAACCTCAGACGACCCTCCAAAATGCCCAGAAAAACAACAGTAAAAAATTAACTATTTCAGGCATTTTGAGAGAAATAGAGAGAGCAGAAGCAGAGAGAGCAGTATGTGTTGAGATGACCGGTCTTTTCTGGTTGTATTCACCATGGATCCCATCATGAGCATAATGCGGCGCGTTCTACAATTTTTTCCTTCACACAAAACCTGGAACGGACTGCGCTGGTGTACCGGATCCATTTGAATACATGGAAACCACTTTGGATGCATTTCTGATAAAAAAAAAGCTCTGAACAGCATCTGGACACGGAACAGTTAAAAAATACTTCTAAACTCAAACGCCTATAAAACGAAGCTAGCCATGTTTACAAGCATTTGAAACGCTGATAAAATCTACTCCTGAACGCAAGTTCAAATTAACTCCTGAACGTTCGTTTATCAGCTGCAGTATACATGAGCCCTTAAGTTCTTGACTGTCCCAACACACACATACATTTTATATATATATATATATGGAACAATCTTGCCGCTATGCAGTTGTCTCCGTTGCAGTGGTACGCGTGATAACTTGTCGCCAAAATGTCCAAAGAAACATGTCCTGGATCAGGATATCTCAGCTGCCTCTTTGTCAACAGCAAGCCGTCGCCCTTTAAATTGGGCCAGTGGGGCGTAGGAATGTGACGTCATTGACGCTGCATGACATCAACGCGTTTCGCTAATATACAAGCGTAGCTTCGTCAGGATAACATGTAGGTGGCGCCATTGCTCCTTTTAAACGATAGTTTGCCCCGCCTCTCTCTACACTATATTATTATTACGTTTTTAATACCTGACCAGGTAAATTATTATTATTATACAGGATTTATATATTATTATTATTATTATACAGGATTTATATATTATTATTATTATACAGGATTTATATCGCGCCAACAGTTTGCTCAGCGCTTTACAATATAACGGGAGACAATACAGCAACCATACAGTTCAATACAAGAGGGATAGGAGGGCCCTGATCCTTGGAGCTTACAATCTAAGAGTAGTGACTCTGCCCCAAATTACATCACCAATCTTGTCTCCAAATATCACCCAAACCGTCCTCTCTGCTCCTCCTACGACCTTCTACTCTCTAGCTCCCTTGCCTCCTCCTCCCATGCTCCTGATCCTTGGAGCTTACAATCTAAGAGTATCTAAATGATACTATGTTAGTCAAATCTAGATCATAGAGTAGAAAATCAACTGGATATAATTTCTAGATTCTTCAAATACTGAAGATATACATATACTGTAACATACAATTAACATTTTAATTTTTGCACTATAAACAAAAAAAGAATTAAAAAAAAAAAAATTTCTTTGTTTCTATTATAAAATTTTTTGTAAACCGGTAATTTTTCTCCTTCACGGATGTGCTTTGATGAGGCTGCACTGATGAGCTGGCACTGGTGGGCACTGATCATCAGGGCACTGATCATCAGTGCCGATCCCTCCTCTGACAACTGCCAGTTCTTGGCAGTACTTTACTCATGCTGTGACAGAGTGAGGAAAGTGCAGCCGATAACCGGCAACTGTATTTACCCGGTGATCGCTGTGTCATTGGACACGGCTGACCACGTGGTAAAAGGCCGCTGTAATTAACCTTTTACCACATCACGTGATCAGCTGTGTTAGTGGAAACAGGATATAGTGAATGCGGGGTCCGGGGAGACCAGATATAGTGAATGCGGGTGTGTTGGGGAGACCAGATATAGTGAATGCGGGGTCCGGGGAGAGCGGCTATAGTGAATGCGGGGTCCGGGGAGAGCGGGCTATAGTGAATGCGGGGTCCGGGGAGAGCGGCTATAGTGAATGCGGGGTCCGGGGAGAGCGGCTATAGTGAATGCGGGGTCCGGGGAGAGCGGCTATAGTGAATGCAGGGTCCGGGGAGAGCGGCTATAGTGAATGCAGGGTCCGGGGAGAGCGGCTATAGTGAATGCAGGGTCCGGGGAGAGCGGCTATAGTGAATGCAGGGTCCGGGGAGAGCGGCTATAGTGAATGCAGGGTCCGGGGAGAGCGGCTATAGTGAATGCAGGGTCCGGGGAGAGCGGCTATAGTGAATGCAGGGTCCGGGGAGAGCGGCTATAGTGAATGCAGGGTCCGGGGAGAGCGGCTATAGTGAATGCAGGGTCCGGGGAGAGCGGCTATAGTGAATGCAGGGTCCGGGGAGAGCGGCTATAGTGAATGCAGGGTCCGGGGAGAGCGGCTATAGTGAATGCAGGGTCCGGGGAGAGCGGCTATAGTGAATGCAGGGGTCCGGGGAGAGCGGCTATAGTGAATGCAGGGTCCGGGGAGAGCGGCTATAGTGAATGCAGGGTCCGGGGAGAGCGGCTATAGTGAATGCAGGGTCCGGGGAGAGCGGCTATAGTGAATGCAGGGTCCGGGGAGAGCGGCTATAGTGAATGCAGGGTCCGGGGAGAGCGGCTATAGTGAATGCAGGGTCCGGGGAGAGCGGCTATAGTGAATGCAGGGTCCGGGTAGAGCGGCTATAGTGAATGCAGGGTCCGGGGAGAGCGGCTATAGTGAATGCAGGGTCCGGGGAGAGCGGCTATAGTGAATGCAGGGTCCGGGGAGAGCGGCTATAGTGAATGCAGGTCCGGGGAGAGCGGCTATAGTGAATGCAGGGTCCGGGGAGAGCGGCTATAGTGAATGCAGGGTCCGGGGAGAGCGGCTATAGTGAATGCAGGGTCCGGGGAGAGCGGCTATAGTGAATGCAGGGTCCGGGGAGAGCGGCTATAGTGAATGCAGGGTCCGGGGAGAGCGGCTATAGTGAATGCAGGGTCCGGGGAGAGCGGATATAGTGAATGCAGGGTCCGGGGAGAGCGGATATAGTGAATGCAGGGTCCGGGGAGAGCGGATATAGTGAATGCAGGGTCCGGGAGAGCGGATATAGTGAATGCAGGGTCCGGGGAGAGCGGATATAGTGAATGCAGGGTCCGGGGAGAGCGGATATAGTGAATGCAGGGTCCGGGGAGAGCGGATATAGTGAATGCAGGGTCCGGGGAGAGCGGATATAGTGAATGCAGGGTCCGGGAGAGCGGATATAGTGAATGCAGGGTCCGGGGGAGAGCGGATATAGTGAATGCAGGGTCCGGGAGAGCGGATATAGTGAATGCAGGGTCCGGGGAGAGCGGATATAGTGAATGCAGGGTCCGGGGAGAGCGGATATAGTGAATGCAGGGTCCGGGGAGAGCGGATATAGTGAATGCAGGGTCCGGGGAGAGCGGATATAGTGAATGCAGGGTCCGGGGGAGAGCGGATATAGTGAATGCAGGGTCCGGGGAGAGCGGATATAGTGAATGCAGGGTCCGGGGAGAGCGGATATAGTGAATGCAGGGTCCGGGGAGAGCGGATATAGTGAATGCGGGGTCCGGGGGAGAGCGGATATAGTGAATGCGGGGTCCGGGGAGAGCGGATATAGTGAATGCGGGGTCCGGGGGAGAGCGGATATAGTGAATGCGGGGTCCGGGGAGAGCGGATATAGTGAATGCGGGGTCCGGGGAGAGCGGATATAGTGAATGCGGGGTCCGGGGAGAGAGGATATAGTGAATGCGGGGTCCGGGGAGAGAGGATATAGTGAATGCGGGGTCCGGGGAGAGAGGATATAGTGAATGCGGGGTCCGGGGAGAGAGGATATAGTGAATGCGGGGTCCGGGGAGAGAGGATATAGTGAATGCGGGGTCCGGGGAGAGAGGATATAGTGAATGCGGGGTCCGGGGAGAGAGGATAATAGTGAATGCGGGGTCCGGGGAGACTGGATGTAGTGAATGCAGGGTCCGGGGAGAGCAGATATAGCACAGCACTGGACTGCAATGAGGCTCAGGTAAGTATAATGTGGAGCTGGGGGGGGGGGGGGAATCCCCTGCATAGAATTCATTAAGGTACAAAAACTTAAGGCTTTAGAACCACTTTAATATACAGTAATTATACATAAATTTTATACTATACACAATTATAATATATAAATGAAATATATAAAGTGATGAAAACAAGTCAATTAAAAAAACAAAAAAAGACAAAAAAACAAACAAGAAACCTAAACACATAAAGCAACTGTAACAAACTTGATTTAAATAAATTAGAATATAAATTATTAATAATAGAATGATATGTATGCCCCTTGAGGGTTAGGGACTGTTGTGAATGTAACACACACACACACACACACACACACACACACACACACACACACACACACACACACGTAAAGAGCTGAGTAAATTGACAGCGCTATATTATCACATAAAATAAATAATAATAATGTTTTATAAAATAAAAAAAACAAATTAGAAATAAAACCAACTAAAAAAACCTCATAAAACTAGTCACCAACTTAATTTAAAAAAATTAAAAATAATAATAAATATTAAAAATATAAAACTTTAAATAAATTAAGCCAAAAAAGGAGTATTTATTTTCAAGTGTTAAGTGAGCAAAAATGAAAACATTTGCATTTTTTTTTATTTGACTACAAGATCAGCACTAGTGTCCCCAGATACTTTGTTCTGCTGGGAATTCTGATTCACTGCCGGATAATAATTCTACACCCACTGCACCTCCAGCCTGCATCTTCCCAGAAAGCCACAAACAATAAACAGATGAGATCTATGTCAGTGCTGATGATTCCTGCTTGGGGTCTAAAGGCTTTCAAGGGTTCGGGGGAAGAACCCGGACGGACTGCATGACCCTAGGCCGTGTACAGTGGTAAGCCAATGGGTGGCGCTCCCTGAAGGTAGCAATGTTCCTGTAGGTCTTACTGCACCAAATATAGTCAAAATGCTGCAGTCAGCCTTCCCTGCAGTCTGCCCAGTTGTAGCGGCTCCTCTCCTGGACTGGAATGTCTTCCTCTGATGTCACTGCACACTGTGAGCTTCTCACAATGTGCATTAGAAGCTGCAGCAAGTCAGACAGAGCTCCGCCTCATTTCTTGGCTGGAGGACATCCAGCATCATCTAGCTCAGGGGTCTCCGAACTTTTTAAACAAAGGGCCAATTTACTGTCCTTTATATTTTAGGGGTGCCAGACTGTGGTCATCGGGAATAGAAATTGCCCTGGCATCAGAGGGAGTAAACAATGTATCTTTGGTATTAGGGGGAGGTGCTTCATCATTGGTGTCAGTGGGAGGAATAGTGCTTCATCATTGGTGGCAGTGGGGGGAATAGCGCCCCATCCTTGGTGGCAGTGGGGGGAATAGCGCCCCATCCTTGGTGGCAGTGGGGGGGAATAGCGCCCCATCCTTGGTGGCAGTGGGGGGAATAGCGACCCATCCTTGGTGGCAGTGGGGGGAATAGCGACCCATCCTTGGTGGCAGTGGGGGGAATAGCGACCCATCCTTGGTGGCAGTGGGGGAATAGCGACCCATCCTTGGTGGCAGTGGGGGGAATAGCGACCCATCCTTGGTGGCAGTGGGGGGAATAGCGACCCATCCTTGGTGGCAGTGGGGGGAACAGCGACCCATCCTTGGTGGCAGTGGGGGGAACAGCGACCCATCCTTGGTGTCAGTGGGAGGAATAGCGACCCATCCTTGGTGTCAGTGGGAGGAATAGCGACCCATCATTGGTGTCAGTGGGAGGAATAGCGACCCATCATTGGTGTCAGTGGGAGGAATAGCGACCCATCATTGGTGTCAGTGGGAGGAATAGCGACCCATCATTGGTGTCAGTGGGAGGAATAGCGACCCATCATTGGTGTCAGTGGGAGGAATAGCGACCCATCATTGGTGTCAGTGGGAGGAATAGCGACCCATCATTGGTGTCAGTGGGAGGAATAGCGACCCATCATTGGTGTCAGTGGGAGGAATAGTGCCCGGTTGTTGATGTCAGTAGCAGGTATTATGTCCCATTGCTGGTATCTGTGGGAGGAATAGTGTCTTGTATCAGTGGGAAAAAAAGTGCCCCAGGGGCCAGATAAAAGCAAGCAAAGGGCCACATACGGCCCCCGGGCTGCAGTTTGGAGACCAATGATCTAGCTCTTTCCTCCTCAGCCTGACTGTCCGTGGCCCGTCCCTTTTATTCACTGGATTTTCATTCTTTCAGTCATGGAGGCTCAGCTTCCTAGGGTGGTCTGCATGCAAAATTCAGCCCGCTTAGAACACCCGCTCCTCCAGACTGACACCCCCCCATCAAGGCATTTTGATATTTGCACAACTCCCAGGTGCCAACCCACTGCTTGCATTAGTGCTTCGCTCTTGAGAGGAATACTGAGGCTGTGAGGTTTTCAGGAAGCTATGTACATGTACAGCACCCTGCTGGCCCCTCCCACCAGCCATGATCTGTCAGCATTGCATTGACAAGCACAGAGACCCAGTGACAACAGCATTGGGTCTAAAACGAGGCATGTAACAAAAATGGAAAAGGTTTTATTTAGAAATGTAATCAGCATGTTAATGGGGGAGGAGCCAAGTAGAATATACATCAGCTTTATATTTGCTACAAGTGATATATTAGCAGAAGTCGTGTATCTGCAGACCATCGCAACGTCTTCCTTGCAATCCATCCCCACACACAGCTTCTATTCATGACTTACCACCATGCTGGCGCTCCAACTGTTTGCACAAGCACACCCTCTATTGTACAACCCCTGAACGGTCACTTTATAAACTGCCATTCCCCTCCTGTCACTTACCGTAAGTGCAGATCCCAGACTGAGACTGATCCTAACCCAAAAAGCTAACAATCCAAAAGAATACAATGTATTCCAAATGGAGATGTATTCTGTCTTTAAAATGGGACTCTAAGCAAAACATGGCAAGTTCAGATCCAGCATCTGTGTCCCCATTTAAGAAGAATTTCCCCTTGCTTCCTGTGCTGGTGACACATCAGGAAGTGAGCACAAATGCCCCATTGGGGACACAGACAATCAAAACCAGACAGATTTCCAACTTCCACCCTTCTGAAAAAAGGTTTCTAAATGACTTTGTAATACGCTGTGAATGTTTTTTTTGTACTTAAAGAGCAAGTTAAAGTGTTACTAAACCCACAACAGTAAAATCGGTCTGTATATGCAGTACAGCATGCTGGTTATACTCACTGTGGAACCTAAGGGGTAAAAAAAAAAAAAAAAAAATGAAGAGCTGAGCAAAAAAAAATGCATCAAGAATGCGTGTAGAAAAACAACCAAAATGCAAAATGAACTGCGAAAAGCACTGCAAAATGGACAAAAACCAAAACAGCATGCATAGGTGTGAACGGAGCCTTTTATGCAGGCCATACATGGTTTGAATTCCAAACAATTTTTCGTCAATGGCACCAGCCGATTTTCTTGGCTCCTCCCCTTTTCGGCAATCGGGCATGTTGAAAAATTCATGAAAAAACTACCGATTTTTGACTCGATGGTCAAATTGTACGATCGAAAAGAATATGCGCATGAGCCGTGACCTGGAAGGAACAGAAGTTTTACCTGTTATATGGGGGAAACTTTATGACTTGGACGATTTTCGAAATCAATGATGGCGCCATCGGATTACCGAGCGAACGACATTTCCGCTTTTCGGACGAAAAATCGTTTGGAATTCGAACCATGTATGGCCTGCAGTCTTTTGTTGGTAGCCCTGAGTGGAAGGGGTTAAAGTCGCTGGTGAACGGATCACCGCAGCTGAACTCTGATGAAATCTCGTGAAGTGATGACAGGAGATTTTCACATTCTCTCTGTAGATGTGATCACACTGCCAGGGAGTCATTCCTGGTGTCTCAGTTTGGCTACAGCACAAACATGTCACCCAACTCGCCCGCATACTACTCTGCCCAGGGGCGGACTGACAACTCACCCCTGGGCAATAGGGGATCATGGGGCCCCTGTGTCCTTGCCCAAACTCAAAAAAGCCTATGAAAAAGGTACCAGGTGCCCAAGTTTCCAAATAGTCAGTCTGCCCCTGACTCCTCCATAAACAAAAAAAAAAGTTAAAAAAGGTAAATCCAATCTCAAAAACCCATAAAACACTTAAACATGTTAATGTCACAAAAGCCATTTTTCAGTATTTCAATCTTTCTAAATCTGCATCTTTTAATAAAAATATCCCCCGATGACCCGGCCATGATGATCCTTGTTTATCCACATCCTGTTAGAGGGTGACAACACTCTGTCCCTGTCTGCCATTGTGATCCTGCCTTGTCACCCCATCACATGGGCTTCCAAGGTGACTACAAAGTGTACACAGGCATGATCCACTGTTGTCACCAGCAGGAAACCCGCCCTGGGAAATGTCATGTAGGCATCACTGGACTGCATGTAGGCAGGAAGTGGTTGCAAAGTGGCCTCAGGAGATCAGCAGCAAAAACAGAATTAAAAAAATAAAATAAAAAAAAAGTGGAAATAATTTTCTCTAAAAAGGAAAAAAAAAAATACATGCCAATGGTTGAACATTGGTACAATGTAACAAATGATTTAAAAAAAAAAAAAAAAAAGTGGAAATAATTTTCTCTAAAAAGGAAAAAAAAATACATGCCAATGGTTGAACATTGGTACAATGTATTTTTTTCCTTTTAAAAACTATTTCCACTTGTTTTTTTAATCATTTGTTACATGGCAATGGGTTAACATTGGTACAACGTAGCAAATGATAAAAAAAAGTGGAAATGGTTTTCTCTAAAAAGGAAAAAAAAAAATACATGGTAATGGTTGAACATTGGTACAATGTAACAAATGATTAAAAAAAAAAAAAGTGGAAATAGTTCTCTAAAAAGGAAAAAAAATACATTGTACCAATGTTCAAACCATTACCATGTATTTGTTTTCCTTTTTAGAGAGAACTATTTCCAGTTTTTTTTTAATTATCTGTTACATGGCAATGGGTGAACATTGGTACAATGTAAGAGATGATTAAAAAAAAAAAAAAAAAAAAAAAAAAAAAGTGGAAATAGTTTTCTCTAAAAAAGGAAAAAATACATGGCAATGGTTGAACATTGGTACAATGTAACAAAATAATTAAACAAAAAAAAAAAACCCTGTAAAATAGAAATGTTAATGAGCAACTCACACCTAAACTAATCTCAACGCATACTGCTGTCTCTGCTTCTACTCTCTGTATTTCTGTGAAACAGTCTGAAATAGTTAATAATTTACCACTTTTCAGTGCATTCTGGGCATTTGGGAGGTTCTCCTGTGCTTCTCTTTAAAAAAAATGCTTCTAAACGCAAATGCGCATAAACGTACTATGCATACACGGCTAAACAGACTTTTTTTAACCTACGTTTTCCAACAGTCAGTTTCCATCATTCAGAAGTGTCCCGTGTACATGGGGCCTAATGGTACAACTAAACAACATTCAGCTACATTACATCAACCCCAATGCAATGAATAGGTTAGAAAAATATATACAGTGCACTGTTATTTTCTGTAAAATGCAATATGGCAGCCTGCAGGTGTTCTGTACACAGATGGTATACAAAGCCCCCCAGAAATGTCATTTCCCCCTTGTGTGATTGGCCCACTGATTTTCCCAGAAGTCTGCATTAAGATACAAGTCAGATTTTGGGCATCCCCTGCAACAAGAATTTCATTTTTTGTGAGCTACTCTCAATTGGAAAAAATCCCATCTAAAAAAGGGATGCTGACAGTCCCCGCCCATTTTCTCTTGTTGCAGGTGATTGACAATTATAAAACCAATCCTACAGATGACACTCTGCACATGGACACAAACAGCATTTCTTCAAAATACAAAAAAGGTAGGAATCCAACGTCTGGTAAAAATCCCTGCAGTGTACATAGATCACGAGGGGATAGGTTTTTTTTTTTCCTTCAAAAGCCAAGCTCTTTTGGAATTGAATGAGTTAATTTTGGGAAACGCAATCGGCAGTTTTGTCACCTACTGTAGACATCTACCCTTAAAATACATACCTCTATCATCAGCATATGGACAGGGGCGTTTTGTGATCATCCTCCATTCATGGGGAGCCCCTTTTGGGCAATAAGGGATCAATGGGGCAATGCCAATGTGTCTTTTCTTGCCCAAACTCAAAAAAGGCCACACCCTATGAAAAAGGTACCCCCGCAGGGGCATCACATGGGGGGGGGGGGACCCCCATACATCTGCCTGAGTTTAAACTACTAAAGAACATCAGCATATGGATGATCCCCACCCTGCTACCCCAATTATAGTGTATCAAAGCCAAATTTTTTTTTTTTTATAGAGTAGGGAGGGTGACAACCCCTGTTGGTTCATTTTTTGGCAGCCGTATCCATTGGGAAGATTTCCCTTCACTTCCTGTCCCACAGATGCAGCAGGAAGTGAGAGCAGATGTCTTCAGCTCCATTTACACCAAGCAGGTGTGACGACCATGACGTGCATTTTGCGCATTTCTGAGCATTCATTTTAATGGGCTGCCCTATGTGCTGGAAAACGCGCACCCTGACCCTTTTTTAAATAAAAAAAAAAAATGCACGCAAAACCAAGAGGCATCATAGCGCCATTAAGGGCCACCAAGCATCTGCTAAAGAGCTGTGCATTTGTGTGCATTTCGGGAAAGTGCACGTGCACGATCCTGCAATGTATAAAAATGTAGCCTTATGGTGGTCACCGGGAACAGGCGTCCCCAGTGGAAGATTTCCCCTCTTCTCCTGTTCTGGTGACAACTACAACATTTTGGATTCCCTCTCACAAGGCAAAGACCGGGTGAATTTTTTTATCGGTGACACACAGCAATGAAAACCAGGCAGCGGTTCCAAACCTTCGCCAAAACAAAAATTAATGAATACAAAAAATAGCCACTCCCACTGAAAGCCTGATCTCCTCTTTCAGCTGGTGAGCCATTTTCCAGTAGATTACAGATCCTGACTTTAGGCTAGGGCAGGGGTGGGTAACTGTGGCCCTCCATCTATTGTAGAACTACAAGTCCCATGAGGCATTGCAAAACTGACAATTACAAGCATGACTCCCAAAAGCAGAGGCATGATGGGACTTGTAGTTCAACAGCTTGAGGGCCACAGTTGCCCACCCCTGGGCTAGGCTCACCAACCTATGTAGGTTTTGAGCTGCATTGCATTTTTGACGCGTTTTTTTTCTTGTTGCTAGGCAGATTTAAAATGCAAAAAAAAAGCGCAGTACCTGCTTTTATGCAGTGTTTCCATTGAAGTCTATAGAACCAAAAAAAAAAAAAATGCAACTTTTTGCATTAAAAAAAATCCCCGACCCTTTCCAAAAAACGCAGCAAGTGAAAATGCGGAGATGTTAACCTGTCCCATAGGAAACCATGTTAAATGGACCGTACTGCGTTTCTGCAAAACGCAGCACAAAAAAAAACGCATCGGTGTGAACCTGGGGTCAAACAGGTTAGGACTTCCAGAGGAGCGCGTAAAAATAAAGGCGGTTAATATAGCGAATAATCAGCCGGCACGATCCTTTAACGCACCCTGCGCGGCGTATCTGTGCATCTCGCGGCGAGAAATTATCAGGTTATAACAAGGTCAGAGAGAGAGGGCCAAGGAATAAGAACCGCGTCAGCAGCTTAGAGCGTGTGCAACCAAGTGTGCGAGTCCCGTGTTTGTGTCAAGTCATTTCTCTCCCTGCACAGGCCTTACGTAAGAGCCGGGACGGTGTATGCGGAGGAACAAACTCATCCACCTCACGCGGCTCAAGATTCACCGAGCCTCAGAGCCCAAACAAACATTCACTTAAAAAATAAATAAATTAATTAAATCAATTGTCAGCTAAATAAATGCCAAGTGCATCAAAAAGGAAATAAAAAGTGGAACTTTTTTTTTAGGAAAGTAACCACATCCTGGAGTAGAAAAGCCTGTCCATGTGCCAGCATGTTGCACAGAAAGAGGCCTTGTTCTGTGTGTGGAAGCAGTGGTCTCTCTGCAGAGCCCTGACATGCCCCTTGCTGAGCCAGAGCTAGAGCTCCCCGACTCAGCTGGGCAAGTGTACAGAGAGGCCACTGCTTCTATACAGAGTAAGATGCATCAAGCCTTTAATTAAAAATCAGCTAATTAACTTCCAGGTGCATCAAAAGCACAAAAGGAAACCTTTAAAAAAAAAAAAAAAAAAAAAACCACAGCCCCAGTAGAAAAGGCAGTCCCCTGCCAGCATGATGCAGGGAAGGAGGCCTTGTTCTCTGTGCGGAAGCAGTGGTCTCTCTGCAGAGCTCTGAGCAGCCTCCTGCCGAGCCAGAGATAGAGCTCCCTGACTCAGCTGGGAAAGTGTACAGAGAGGCCACTGCTTCTACACAGAGAGCAAAATACATTAGGTCTTAGAGCCAAACTGAGCTTTCAATTAAAAGTCGGCTAAATAACCTCCAGGTGCATAAAAGCAAAAAAAGAAAGCCTTTTATAAAAAAAAAAAAAAAAAAAAAAAAAAGAAGCAACCACAGCTTGAGTAGAAAAGGCAGTCCCCTGCCAGCATTCTGCAGAAAAGGAGCCTTGTTTTGTATGTGGAAGCAGCGGTGTCTCTGCAGAGTGCAGACATGCCCCCTGCTGAGTCAGAGCTAGAGTCCCCTGAAGCAGCAAGGGAAGTGTGTTGGGCCTCTACAGAGAGACCGCTGCTTCCACACACAGAACAAGGCTCCTTCTCTGCAGTATGCTGGCAGCGGACTGCCTTTTCTACTCAGGTTGTTTTCTACTCATGTGGTTGCTTTTTTTTTTCCAGTCAAACTGAAAATTCTTTCCTTTTGATGCACCAGGAATTAATTTAGCTGAATGATTCTGAATTTTCAACTGGGCCGAACACACGGGGCAGATATGAAGAAAGCCCCCAGAAATGCAGGCATGTATTCACTAAAGAGGTCTTCTTACCTCCCACCAGTGTAGAACGTTCAGATCACTTGATATCCGTCACTTGTAAAATCTCCTGTGCAGCACTGAAAGAGGGAGGGGCAGCACTAAGGGGCCAATCAGGCTGCAGTACACGTGATGGACATGCTGACAGGAGGAGAGAGCAGAGGGGTGAGCTCACCAGTCTGTTGCTTCTCTTTTATTGTCCAATCACAGGCCGGGGATGGGAATGTGACCCCCGAGTTATCTCGCTAAGCCAATAAGGGGCCCTCAACAAGCCTTAGGGGCCCTCAACAAGCAAATAAGGGGCCCTCAACAAGCAAATAAGGGGCCCTCAACAAGCAAATAAGGGGCCCTCAACAAGCCAATAAGGGGCCCTCAACAAGCCAATAAGGGGCCCTCAACAAGCCAATAAGGGGCCCTCAACAAGCAAATAAGGGGAGTTTTCTTTTTATTAGCATTTTTACAGTACATATGGGGGGGGGGAAAAAAAAAGCTAGAAAAAAAGCGTTTAGGAGCATTTTAGTAGCGTGCAGCATTTTTTTTCTACCAGAAAAAAACACTCCCAAAAACTAATTTTTTTTTTCTGCTCCTACCGAGGAAGCTTGACAAATACTACTAACCTAGTGTGTATGGACATGTTCAGGAGAACATGATTTAGCTTCAAGGATCTTTAAAAAAATGCTGGCGTGCATGGGTCCATGCACACTAGGTTTTTTTTTGTTTGTTTGTTTTTTGTCTTTTGTTTTTTGTTTTTTTTTTTTAAGCGCAGCAAACGCTGGAAAATAAGCTGGATAAAAAAACATTGGCAATAGCATTTTAGGTGCGTTCAGGAGCGTTAGCATTTTATTAGTGTTTTTACAGGGATTGTAGATAAAAAAAAAAGCTAGAAAAAAGAGCTGTTAGGGGTGTTTTAGTAGCATTTTTATTTTCTCATGGAAAAACACTCCAAATACAAATTTTTCTTTGACTCCTAGACTCTGAAGCTCAAAAAATGCTAATAGCCTAATGTAGTGTGCATGGACACATAGGACAACACAGCTTCAAGGAGCAGGAAAAAAAATGCTAACAGCAGCGCTTCAAGGAGCAAAAAAAGGTGTGCATGGTGCCTAAAAGAGGAAAACTAATGCAGCCACCACATCCAAGAAATGGTAAACTGAACATAATAAAGGTTTGCTTTTGGGTGTAATGCCGCTTTACCCTTGCATTGCTGGGGAAGGTTTCTTTTTGTTTTTTTTACAAAAATCCCAGATTTTATTTTTTTTTTTTTTTTTAAGATCCTCGGAGGCAGTACAAGTTGTGTTATCTGTCCCCGCCCCCAGCATGACATCATCATCACTGATCCAAGAACATACAAAGTTACTACCGGTGGATACAATGAGCTGGGAGGGGTGATGGCAGAACGTGGTTGTGAATTCTCTCACACGTGTTGGACTGTTAGAGCCGCGTGAAGCCGACGAACAAAAACATGGATGAGGTCAAGTCGAAGTTTTTGTGGTTTGTTTAGAAGTAAATAGGACTGAGCTGATGTTTCCTCCACCAGCCATCGTCTCTCCGGCCTCAGTGTGCAGCCATGACGGGGGGGGGGGGGTCACATTGTGGCCTGACCTCCCCGGAGATCTCTTCCTCCGCCTGTTTGTCTCTCTGTGGTTTACTAATGGAACATTCACATCCGTGGGCTGACCACGGGCTGTGCCACGTGCACTATACCAGCTGAGGAGGGCAGAACATATGGCATTAACCCCGTCCTTCCTTGCTATAGAAACTACTCCCCTGTCCTGCCGTATCACCCACTGTTTCCACTACACCCAGTTCACACCAATGCGCCACGATGCACTAAAAACACAACACACAGTGTGTCTAAGGGCTCATTCACACTAGTGGGTAGGGCAGTAAAATCCTGTTTTTTCCCCCATATATTTTTGTAATGGAAAAAGATCTGAGCCATGCTAATACCGCCCCAATTCCCCCCCCCCCTCTCCAACTGCTACCCCTTTTAGCTGCAGAGGCAGCAGGCAGGGGTGTACGCATGTGTATGCATAGAAAAGTAACAGCAAAAAAAAAAAAAAAAAAAAAGAGAGTGTTTTTTTGGGGGGGGGTGGTTTGTTTTCTTGTTTTGGCTGTTATTTGGTTTAGTATGGCTGGTTGGGGTTTTTGGATTGGTTGCTTGGGGTTTTTATTTTGGTTGGTTGCTTGGGGTGTTTGGTTGGTTGCTTGGGGTTTTTAATTTTGGTTGGTTGCTTGGGGTTTTTGGTTTGGTTGGTTGCTTGGGGTTTTTAATTTTGGTTGGTTGCTTGGGGTTTTTGGTTTGGTTGGTTGCTTGGGGTTTTTTTTTGGTTTGGTTGGTTGCTTGGGATTTTTGGTTTGGTTGGTTGCTTCGGGTTTTTGGTTTGCTTGCTTGCTTGCTTGGGGTTTTTGGTTTGGTTGCTTGCTTGGGGTTTTTGGTTTGGTTTTTTTTTGGTTGCTTGCTTGGGGTTTTTGGTTTGGTTGCTTGCTTGGGGTTTTTAA